TACACTGGTGAATTAAACAAAATATAATAGTTGCTAGCAGGAGTTCAGATCCATTCTCCTGGCAGTGAAGGAAGCTCTAAAGTAGAAAGCTCTCTGACCTGCTGCTTTTAGTGGAGTTAAATTTCAGTGTTTTGAAACACTGGTAGTGTTTCACTTAGTTGCAGTGAGCTATTAGCAAAAGGAATTCTTGGGATACTGTTGCTCTAATGGTATCAAATAATGGGAGTTTTGTATAATGTGTTTGTTAAATCCTCACTGAGGATAATATTTTTGATTATGCAGTGCAGATATGCTGTAATCCCACACAATAATTTCTTGAAACAAAACAGAGAAAATAATTGTTAGGAAACAAATATTTTTTACCCCTCTACCAAATGAAAAATAAAATTATTTTATACTGATATATTTCTTAAATTGATAGCTAAAATGTTATGAGGTGGAAGAGGAGGTCTGGCAAATAGATCTTTGGATAAATGTATTCTTTTGAGGTTAAAGTATATGCAATCAAAACTTAAATTGATTTAAATTTTCTTCTTTGGAAGATATAAATATCAATGGCATTTTTATATTTTATTGAGATTATGAAATAGTACTGATTGCCTGAAAATATTAAGAATGTATAATCACACATTTCACAATATTTAAAAAAAATATTTTGACTTATTTAAGAAACAGATTGAAGTAGATTTTAATGAAACAGTGACCATGCTGACAACGGTATCCCTTCAATGAAACAACAAAAACCAGAGATACATTATAGCATAGCTCTGAAAATGTGATTTGTTTCAGATAGTTTTGAGTGTGCGAAGATAACATCTAACATGCACTGAAGAATACGTATTGATGTTTAAGAACGATGTTGTTAAAGTATTTGGCATTATTCTAGGATATCCTAATTCATTGTATTGTATGTGCTTATTCTCTTATGTGCAGTTCAAACACAATTATTTTTTTCTCAGAAATAATTCTGCCTATATTAAATCAAAATTATTGACTTCTTACATGCTGTTCTTATGTTAATTTTTTCCCTAGTTGAATAATTTTTCCTACCTAAAGAAGCTCCCAGTTAAAAAAAAAAAAAAAGTCTTGTGCAGTCATACGCTGTTTTGTTGTTCTTGGACAATTTAATATCTTGCATGGTCAGTGTTTGTGCAAGAAGAGTTCTTTAATAAAAAACATACTTTTATTAGAAGAATTGTGTTCACCTCCTTATATAATAGAAGTCATTGTTCGTTATTGCATTCAAGACTTTGAACAAGAACGCTTTTATTTTCTCAGTAATTCTCTTGTTAATGTACTGGTGTCATGTTTCCTATTTTAATGGAGAGCTTAACTATGGATAAAGACAGCTTGTGCTTAATAGTGCTGTGATCAAATAATTACAGATTTCAAGATGGAACATAGAGAAGGAGGGAGAATAGTTGCAAGATAGTGAAGAGCTTCAGTACAGAAGTAACACATTTCCTTTTTTTTTAACAAATAAGCTTGGCTTGCCAGCCATGTAGTGCTGTGCTTTGCTGGTAGATGAAGCTACAGTTTCTTATTGTTTTATTGTAACATTTGTGTTACCTGGTTGTAGATACTGTCACACTGGTAGATGTTGGGCGGTTACTTTTTATTATAAAGAAATTGTTTCAGGAATATTTTGAAATGAGTGCTGGATTTTAGGCAATCAGTTTTCTGTGAGTATAGTCCAGTGCTGAGATATATTTAAGTGGGGCTGTAGGATGTGTTTTCACTTGGTCCACAAGTTTAATTATTTTTATAGGCATGGGCTTGGAGATGTGAGAGTAGCACAGACTGAGGCAGTAGTACTTATTGGAGAAAGATCAGAAAAGATATACTGATAAAAATATTGATAAACAATATCCCTGACCATAATCTTGTTTAAAAAAATGATATTTTAAATCTCTTGGCTCTCTGTATTCTATTGTATTTCCTGGATGTACTCTTGGATGTGCAACAGAAGACAGAATTTTCATGTAGAGGACACCCCCCCCCCAAAACAAAACAAAACAAAACCCTACTTTGTGTCACCTATCCCCAGAAAACCCACTTCATTTCACCTATTCAAATTATGCAACAATGAGTGTCATTTGCTAGTTCATGCCTTACTCCAGAGTTTGAAAACCTGAAAGGTAACGAGTAAGTGAGAGGGGTCCTGTGGACCTACCTGTCAGCCGAAGCGACTGAGCGCCTGGGCTGCCAGTGCTCCCTGC